TTTGTTCTTAATTGCTTGAGGACAAGCAAAAGGCAAGTGTGGGGGTGTTGATATCCATTGTATTTACACCATTTAGGGCTGCATTTAGTACATATTTTGGTCCTCTTTTGCATGTTTTCCCTTTGCTTTTGTCCTATTTTCTTCTCTTTTTAGACTTAGGTTGCATTTAGAGTATAGTTTGCATTCTCTTTGCATTTTGGATGTTTTTAGGTGCTTTTGGAGCCTAAAGGAGCTTGGAGGAGTTTTGGGAATGATTCAAGATGCTAGCTGGGCAAAAGGGAGCAAGAAGGATCACAGTAGAAGATCTCTGCAGAAGTTTTTGGTCAGAGCACAGAGAGTATCGGTCAAGGATGACCGATACAGAGCAATTTCGATCACCAGTATCGGTCAAACGTGATCGACACAAACACACCGGATGAATTTCGGTCATATGTGCCGATCACTCCAGACCGATATAGATCCATTTCGGTCACTCAAGACCGACACAACTAACCGATACGCTGCCAGACTGAAGACCTTTTATTTACAACTTTGCCATTTTTGTTTGGACTCCTATAAATACGGAAAATCCCTAATTTATGGGAACAACCCTTTACCCAGCAGTTCTTTCTTTCTTGTTTGGACCTTTGGATTTTGTAATTTGAATCTTTGCTTCATTTTAATCAAAGTTTGCTTCTTTCATATTGTTTAAGCTTTCTAATCATGATTAGTCATCTTTCTCTCTTTGATTTGGTGGCTTTATTGGTGATTAGTGAGTAGTTCTTTTTAGGGATTTGAGATGGGCTAGGTTTAGGGAAATTGAGACTCTATCTATGATTGCTTAGTGTTAATTCTTCCATTTTCTTTCTTGATTGTTGTGTTTAATGCTTAATTAGATCTAGCTAAGTTAATTGAGAACTTAGGCTCATTTTATGCTCACCAAGTGTTTGATGAAATGCATGAACTGCTTGGCAAGAGAATTGCTTATCCTAGCTCAAGAGATTGACTGTCTAGGGAGTGATTTGGCAATATAGGGTTGATAGATTTTTTTTAATGCTTGCTCTTTATCATTTTACTAATGAGAATTAGTTCTTGACTTGGTAATTAGCAAAGAGATTAGTGCTAAGAGATTGGATTAGTCATATAAATGAATCATATGCATAATGAATAGCATTGTGTAAGTTTGTAAGCATCATAGGCTGAGTCAAGAGTTCCCTATTACCAATTATCTCATCTCAAGTCCCATCTTTTCTCTGTTTTAAGCTCTGTTCTGAATTTGCTCTGTTTTCCTTTATTTTGATTGCTTTTCTTGCATTTCACTCTTGCCTTATGTTTGCTTTAATGTTGTTTGATCACTTAGGTTGCTAGATATTCTAAACCCCTTTCCTTTCTGCTTGAATTAGGAAATCTACTATAATTCTGCTGTTTCAATCTTCCCCTTTGGATTGACATTAAAACCCAATGCTACAATGACTAGTACAATGGGTGATTGACATAAGAGAGTCAAAACTCTTGTATCAGTGGTGTGCGGATTGTTGGATCTGGCTGGATCATCGATTATGGAGGATCGCTCCTCGTTGATGACCCTTTCTTGTGGATCTGTTCATCTAGCCACATTCTATTCGTGGTTAGAGAGCGTCATTTCCGATTGGGTGACGGGAGTGGGAGTAGTTGGACTCGCGATCACTGGCTCGATCCATATGGTTTTGCTGTTCGAACTGGAATCGTGTTGGAAGGAAGCGTTGCTTCGATGTGTGCCGGTACGGCAGATCTACTGGATTCCATATTTATTGGATCCATTATCGTTCTAACTAACCTTAGATCTGTCTACAGTGTTAGAGATGTCTTTTATCTTCCCCACAGATGGCGACAAAATGTGGATGCAGATATCCACACTCAAATATTTGTGAAGTGTTTAGGTTATTTTAGAGAGATGATGGGTAAGAATCTATATTAGAGCAACTAAACTTAAAATTGAAAATAGATAAATGGACTTTTATTGATTGGAATGAGAGATCGCGTACAACAATTAATGTGTGTAAAGAACTTGTGTGTTGACTACACTTGAATAATTAGGTAAAAGATGTAAGAATATGAAAGCTCGTAGAGTGTACAAGTAGTAAATTAGGTAAAAAAATCGAGAGTCATTTCTTTCTACCCTTCTTACTCCTTTTACAGTTTTCTTTGAACTCTAACTGCTGCACGAATCTCGGAAGTTAGTTGTAACGAGCTTCAGATATCTCGGATGTCGTTGCTGGATAAAACTCCGAATATGATAAGACATCGCCTAATCGTGCTTAATTTTGTCTTGAAAAATATTTTTAATTGGCGGGAACTTATTGAAAATACAGATGAACGATATGTTTGATGGGTATTGCAAATAGGTTTGAGATGACTGGTTAATGAGCTTTAGAGAATCTCCAACCCTACTCCATTTTCAACTCCAAATGCTATTTTAGAGTAAAATGATCTCCAACCCTACTCTATTTTCAACTCCAAAATGGAGTAAACCAAAATTATACTCCATATTTGGAGTAGATCTAAACTCTACTCTATTTTGGAGTTAGACTTTTTTTATTTACAAATTAACCTTTTAGATTTAAAATAATTATATTTTTATACTATTGAATATCTATAGAAAATATTATAAAACTGATAATTATAAATATTTAAACACTGCAATTATTCTTAAAAAATTACAAAATATAATCCTCTACTTATTAATTGAGAATGTAGTTTAATAAAAAATGCTGATTTGTTTTAATTTGATTGGTTAAAATTCTTTCTCTATCCTAATTAAATGTGACATGGAAATGATGATGTGTAATGATGATGTAATTGACATGTCATTTACTAACACATGAGGTTTATGACATGAAAAAAAGAACTTTTGTGATATTTTTATTTATAAAAAAATTAATTAGATGACAAAATTTAGTGTACTAATAACTAAATGAATGATTCGCCAAATGCATTATGAATAGTCTGATATTATTATTCATCTATATGGATAATAGCATATGAATTTTGGGCTAAACGTGATAATTTTAATACACACATATATATTATAATACTATGGATAATACTGTATTATATATTAAATTTACTATAGCTCTGTCATGGATCACTGTAACTTTCCATATAGATACACACATATCTATATATATATATATTATAATACTATATTCATATGGAATACATGTACATATATTTTCATATATTTCAGTAGGTAAAATTATAATAACAAAATCATATTGATCAAATCGTTTACTTAATAATTCATACTTTTTGTAAAGGCGGTGCTTTATTTACGTGCACATATGTTTTCACATACTTTAGTTGACAAAATTATAATAATAAAATAAGATATTATTGTGATCTTCTGTAGAACATTCAAAATTTTAATATATTAGTTTAGTTTAAAAATAGTAACAAATATAAATGTAAGATTCGATTTAATAATCCTCTACATTATTTTTCGTAGCAAAAGTTGAATATCCTATAAAATCAACGTGCAAAAACCAAAATCATTATCCTCTACATTATTTGAAAAGTTTAATGTCCATTTAATAAAAACCAAAAAGATTCATATAAAATCACGTTCATCCCAAATAACTAATGAAAAAGTTAAATACTCGAATCCTTATATAAGAAAACATCACAACACAATGAGTATCAAACAATCAAACCCTAACTCAAAGCGCGGGCATGTCAATTCTACCAATCCATTTATCTAAATCGAATATGGCTAAAATGAAACTTGAAAGTTGTATAGACTCCAATCGTGAGTGTAATGAAGCAAGATTTTATCGCTACACTGAATTTCCAAACAAATGGGTTTGGCATCAAAAAATTAAGAAGTGGCTCCCTCGCAACAGAAAAAACAATGTTCCCTACGATATTAGCCTTCCAGAAGTTTCAGAAGAATATGGTGAACTTTTCTACCTTAAAATGTTGCTAAATGTTCAGAGAAAACCAGTATATTTCAAAAAATAATAGAACAGTAAACATAGTTTTATATTCAACCTTCGCTGAAACATGTTTTGCAATAGGGTTAATTGAAGCATTTGATGCTTAAGTGGAGATGGTCTTGCAATTATTTGTATAGTCTACTTGATAAAATTATAAGTAGAAAAATCGCACATATAAGTAGATTGAGACCAACAATGACGGAATCCTTGAAGAAATAATGTTTTAAATTGAGGAAGATTATAAGAAGACAAATAAAATGAAAAACGTTTGTTCAAAAAAAAAGACAGAGAAGATAAAATTTGCAGCTTGATCCGTAAATCCGAAGAAGGTGACCAACTATCCACGGGTTTGATCCATTTGACCCTCTAACATAACTGGTCAAGTTTTACAAAGCCTGATCATGGAAAAATAAGTTTTGTGTTTTTCAAATTTATTATTATTTTTCAAGTCTGTCTCAAAATATAAATGAACTTTTTGTTATAACAAAATGCTTAGTTAAAATTAGATCATATTTTACTACTTAATTTAAAGTCTTATAATTCAAAACACTGACCTTGAGTTTCATATATTACAAAAATTAAAATATTTAAAACGGATTTAAATATTATATTTAGATAATTACATTTTAAAAATTGTTCATGTCTGCACATGCGTGCGGACCAATATCCTAGTAAACTTTAAAATACATAACAAATGCTGAAATTAAGATAAATAATATAAATAAATTTAAGACAATAAATACAAAAAACATTAATGATAAAAGTTTTAGTAATAGTAATGTTTAAATAAAAATTTGTATATGCTTTTTTGTGATGTTATGTAATTTTCATTATTTGATAAATATTTAAGTTATAGTTTTTGAAAAAAATTGTAAATAATTAAATAAGTGGAATTTATTTGTAAATTTCAAAACTAAAAAATATTTATAATAAAATCGAATAAAAATTTATTTAAAATATTTTTTTTTAAATAGAAAATGAAAAAATACATTAGAACAAAACACAACTCTATTTTGGAGTTACTCTATTTTAGAATAAAAAATGAAAAAATACATTAGAAATTGTCTCATAATGAACAGAATTTGGTGCTAAATCCAGGGTTTATTCTACTTTAACTGTTTGAAACAAAACAAAAAAATATACTTAAAACTGTATTCTAGTATCAACATTCCCTGAAATTTTAATACAATGCTTTCGGTATAAAAAAAATCAGAAGTCGAAGATGAGTGGGAGAGGAGAAACAGCCGTAGCCATCGACACATCCAATTTTGAATCACCAAGTCTTTGTCCCGACAGATCAATTACAGTCATTCAGTTTTTGAAAAACAATTAAGACAATAAAAAAAGGATAGGTAATTTACTTGAGAGTTATAATTATAATAAGTCATAAAAGCCCAGCCTCCAATAGATTTCTCCTTCTTAGAGTCTCATCTACGAGCTTGAACGTTTTCTTCACGAGCTTCTGATCCAAAGCCGTCGTCCTGTAGATCTTAAATACCCTGTCCACTCGATCCGGAGCCGTATTCTGGTAATATAATTCCTCGAATTTCTTCTTCACAAACCTTTATTTTAATCGAAAAATACCAATGTCAAACTACTGTAACAATTTCAAAGGTATTATACTTTGAATGGTGACCATGTTTTAGGGAAAAAAAAGAAGACGAATGCTTTGTTTCTCAAATCTTATCCAGTTAATAGGAAGTATTTGTCAAATTTTGAATATATGAATCTCACACCACTCCTCTCTTTTTCTCATGAATGGAGGAATCAATGAACAAAGTATGTTTTTCCTAAAATTTGACGATGGACAAACGAGACCTCTTCATTTCAATTTTTTTCGTTTTTCATTTCTTCAAATTTTGTTTGGTTTTACTGTTAAAACCCCCACCAGATAAATAGTTCCACCATTTTTTCCCAGACTAATGAACTCACCACAAAACCTCCTGAAGTTAGACATTTGTACATGAACCCACCCAAACTATTTTCATATATCTAATTCTCCATCTGCAATTTAATATATCTATCCAAATCACCTTTATGTGAACAGTGATTGCCAAATCAAATGGCTATTAGGAGAGTGAATTGGTTACATAAACATTAAACACACAAAATAATAACTTTCGGTTTACATAAACGCAATTTAGATTGATTTTGATTTCGACTTAAGATTTATAATTGCAGATGAGAAATTAAATATACTAACAATAGTTTGGGTTGGTTCGTATACAAATGCCTTAACTTCAGCGATTTTCGTGAAGAGTTCAGTAGTTAAAACACTCGACCCATTTGATTTTGTGCATATTTTTATTAATTCCCTATGGTTCATCAAAAACGGTCACTAATGGAAACCTCAATAAAAGTATGAAAAGAAACTTACTCGTATGCATGCTCAATCTCTTGTTTCCCACTTGAAACTGGTTGGTAATCTCTGAACCACTCACAAACGTTCAACGGAACCTAAGCACATCAGATAAAATAAAAAGCGTTTTATGGAAGCAGATTCTTGCATTTTCATCAATATAAAAAGAGATCCTTGTATATCTACACAAATAAAAGTACGCTTCTGCTCTTACATCAAGAACCTTCTTCTCAAATATGTCGAACTTGTTCAAAAACAGCATGAAAGATGTTTTCTGCGTAAGAAGATTACCAAGTTTTAAGTACACGACCCATCTCACGAGTTTCTTCAAAGCTTTATAATAACTTATTTAAAAAGTTATAATAACCTCGAAACAGGGCTGTTTCAGGACCCAGTCGAATAATTCTTTAGTCTCCATCATCCTGTTTTTTTGCTCATCCTCAAAGAGCGTTTGGTCATACCTATGATCAAAAATCGAGTTACGATTTGGATATAACTTAATCTGTAATGAAATGAGTTTTAGCTTACTCGCTGATGGCAGCACAAAATATCACAGCAGTTACACCTTCAAACAGATGAATCCATTTCCTCCTCTCATTTCTTTGTCCACCCACATCGAATAACCGGTACACTTCACCGCTTTTCTTATTCTCTCCCACAGGACTACATGAATTAAAGCTTTTAGTATCTCATATAGCATCAGAAGTATATGATTGTTACAAGGTAACACATTCACCACAACAACAAATTTGAAAATCATAGGATCCAAAACCAGTAAACACTTTTATTTCAATTTACCAAAGTCCTACACAGCAAAGAGAGTCTTCGTTAACAGAGAATCTCTACTCTCTGAAAAGTTCCCACTTCCCATCGAAAACACTAGACAAATCCAGAATTCCTCACTCTTAACCATTTGCCAGAATTGCTAAAAATGCTAGAGATGATTGTTGGGCTTGGAGCTTCTGGGGAGTGCAAACAAGTAAGTAAACTAGCTAGCCGCATTCCCAACTAATTGCTACTCTTCTTTAACTAATAGCTACTTGTTCGACTAAAAACCGCCTAGGCGAATCATAACGCACATGCAACAGAGCAAAACAATGGACTTATCAAACAATTTCTCATCCTTTTTGAAAAAACTAAGACCTGAAGCTGCAGAAGGAAGTAAAATTAGAAAGTGTTAGGCACCTGAACTGTATTTCCACAACACCAGTTGTGCGAACTCTTGCATAGAGAACATCCTCCTGAAACACCAGTGACGACATATTACAGAAGTTTGTATATAATATGATTAACTAAGCTCTTATGAACAGCAAAAAGCTACTACTTGTTGATGACTTGAGTCTCTGAGGTCGATCTAATTATAACCAGCTAAGGTCAATGTTCTCATCAAGTAAATGATAGGTCGGTTTTCAAATACCTTTGTTGGAATATAATTCAGATCTGATAGTCTCTTCAAGTTCTCCATCAGATATTTCGTACAATCAGGAACTTGAAGCTCGTTACCACGAGCACATGTCTCCTACAAAATGGAACATCCAGACATTCAAAAGAAAGTACAAATTATTAGATCACATAACACAAGCCGTCAAGCCCAATAGCAGGATATAGATTCATATAAATGTATGTGATGACTTCAGAAGATACAATTTTGAGAGTTGCCACAAAGCAACTCTCTTTCTTCACCCTTTATGAAATCAATCTAAATTCATTTTGTTCTTGGTGTCAATCCTTAAGTTTCTTTCTTTTCCTTTGTTTTTCAATGAGATATTTTTATTTCAATCTCGTTTTCTATCTTAGTAAGCTCATTTGAGCAAGAATCTATCTTGTTTTATTGACTTTGCTTACACACCTGAATTGCAGGATCCTTCCATAGTGTTTCTATTCCCTCAGCGAGGTCCTTGGTAAGACGCGGATAGTCTAATCTACCACCAATTTCAGAAATTTTCTCCGCAATTGCCTGATATGGAGATAATAAGGTGACTAGTACTTGATTAGGAATATAACTCAAAGACAACTTAGTGACCACTTTACCATATTTTCAGAGGATATCGTATATTTTGCAGAATCTGTTTCATTTTGAGCAAACTCCTTTGTTCCCTCATGCAATAACTGTTCAACGATAGAGATAAGCTCTTAAGCTACATGTATAATATACTTAGATCAATTAGGCCTTTTCAAGTATTGCATACTTTTATAGTCTGATAAACATTGGCATGGATGACTGGAACATAGCTCTTTAGTTCTCCTTCATCAAACCCCGTTTGAAAGAGAAGTTTTATCTGCAAGTTTACATAATTATTCTCATAAATTGACACAATTCAATGATAAAATTTGAGTAAAAAGGCTAAAAATCAAATTTCCTCGTAACTTGCCTGCTTAAAAATAGTAGATTTTCCGGATTCACCCGCACCTTAACAAAGATCAGTCAGAAAATCAGAGGAAAAATTTCACAAGAGAACGAAAAAACGGAAAAGGATAATCTCAAAGAATTTAAGAAAGGAAAAAAAAACTTATCTAGAAAGAAAGGCTAACGCAACAGCAGATAAGTCTCCTAGTAGTTAACAAAGAATTACTATCTCTAATAGATAGCCTCGGGTTGTATATTAGCAAGAGATTCATTTGATCATTTGTAAAAGGTGCACATACCAAGTAGCAGAAGCTTTCGAATATGCTTTTCAGCCTTAGCTTCTTGCTCTATCCGTCTTTCGATTTCAGCAGCCTGTAGGTTTATAAACTTGATGCCGTAAGTATCAGAATTAATGCTGAAAAGTCTAATGCATATATTGATTCGACCTGTGTATTCTCGTCGGTATCTTCTGTATGATGTCTACTTCTACTGCAGAGTAACCCCATGATATAGTTTCTCTTTATAATCTAAGAGATAGTATGGAAGTTAAAAAAAATTATCAACCCCCACAGCTAAATACAAGTACGCTTCACCAGCTTCCTGCTACTGTTGCCTCTCAAAACAGAACAATGCTCCTAATAAATGAAACCATCAAGAAGAACGTCTTATACATATAGTTTCACTCACCAAAGAAGCAAACATGTTTAAAAGAATGCAACTAAAAAAGCACAAAACAAACAATTTCTTGGATTGATAGCTCTAAGGCAAGTTCAGTAGCGAGAAATTCTTATACATCTATAGTTTCACTCAGCACAGAACCAAACATGTTCAAAGAACGCAAGTAAAAAAGCACAAAACAAACAATTTATTAGATTAGTAGCTTTGAAGCAAGTTCAATAGCACATTATTAAACTGATAAGCTAACAAATCGAGTCACAGAAATTAAACATTTCGAGATCCAAGAAGAGAACAATAGAATTATCATATTCACTAACAATTTGAAGAACCTTGCCAATTTCTCCAGGAAAAGTCATATAGGATTTAGATACTCATTTAGATTCAATCACTGCCCAAGTGACAGAAACGGATTGATCTACAAAACCCTAATCCTGAAAACCCCAATTCGAATACAAGAGGACAAGGAGGTAAAGGACAAGATCTGAGTAAAAAGAACAAAGCTTTTTCGAAAACCCAGAAGAGCGAATCTGGGGAAAAAAAGAAGTATAAAAAAATCACCTGAAGAAAAACAAACAAAATCTGAGGAGTTTGCTCACAAGTACAAAACAGATTCTGATAAGAGACCAGAGTACTTCTGCTTCTCCTGTTTCTATTATTGTTTACCCTTCTTTCCGCTTTAATGTTCCTCTCGTCTTTTGGATTGTATTGTATACACACTCTCATATATCTTATACGTAAATGCAAATAAGAAACAATTGTTTAAAAAACAAAAAATCAAAGCAAAGAAAATGTTTAAGCAAAGGAAAGACGAAATTGCGCCGAAAGGTCCTATTTTGGTCAATGTTGAAAAGATGTGCCTCGTGAAGATAAGAAGAGTTACCACGTAACCTATGGAGTTTAAGGTGGGGTATTGGATTTAGAATTTAGATTGAATTGAAAAGAATTGAATAATATATTTTATCAATTTTTTTAAATATTTGTGTTATTGAATTAAGAGTTTCTATACATTTTTTCAAAATCTTTTAAATATCATTGTTATTCAATATATTAATTTTTCAATTCTATTAAATATCTGTGTTATTCAATTTTGTAATAGCTTTGATTGTATTATCATTTGGAAGGAATTTAATAGAATTCCACCTAAAAATTGTTAAGAACCAATTCCTACCATTTTTACTAGAATTTTGATAAAATTAGTTTAAATTCCTATAAAATACTTTAAATTACTTACAAATCAATTATTTTTAAATTCTTGTACATTCTATCAAATTGAATCAACCAATATCACCCCCTTAAATATAAACAATTTGGAAGAACGCTAAATAACAAGACAAATGTGAGTTATATATAATACTAAGAGAACGTATGTGAGTTATATATAATACTAGGAGAACGCGTTCTAAGGATATGATATTTTGACTATTTTAATTTTATAATCAATTTTATTATATTTGTTTGTAAATTTTATGTAAGTTGTATGTACTTTTTAAATTTTGTATGAAAAAATCGATGAAATAATAATATTTAGTTTGAACCTGTTAAAGAAATGATGCTGTTATTGGGGATGACCGAAAAGAAAGTTCTCGAGAATATAATACATATTGTGATAGTAATGGTGGTTTGAGGTTGGATGCAGTAGGAAAGTAAGTATTGAGGCCCTAATGTAAAAAAATATTATGAAAGCAAATAGTGCATGATTTTCTTTTTGATTGCCACAAAGAGAACATGAAAAAAATGAATCTATATTTTCAGATAGAAACAATGACATAGTCAACTCTTAAAAGTTAAAAAAAATCAAAATAATATGAAATAAGAGATATAATAAAAGAGAATCTAGTGGAAAAGAAAAAAAAACCGAGACATTGTTTTTGTATTCGTTCGATGAAAGTGAATACAATAGAAATAGGAAAAAAATTACATATGTCAATTTTTAAAATGCCACGTGACAGCATATGTGGGTTGTTTATGAAAAAAAAACCTTATTGATTTCGTTTTTGTTTGTTAGATGAAAAATAATCATTTGTAGAAGAGAACAAAAACTGAAGCTTTCTTTATGTGTTTGTTCAATGAAAAAAAATTTAATAGAGATTATAAAAAAAAAAGAGAAAAAGTGACAAATGTTAGTTTTTTAGATGTCACATAACAGCATATCAGAGCTGGTTCTGTGAAAGACCTTACTGATTTTCGTTTATGTTTGTTAGATGAAAAATAATTGTTTGTAGATGAGAAAAATAACTTCTCTTAGTAATTTAATATAACTAAAGTTTCAAACAAAATATTTGGCAAGATGAGCCTAAGACTGGAAACACAGTATTTATTTGAGGCATATTATAAAAAATCTAAAAAAAATTCACAAAGGAAAATAATACATGGCGTTTTGTTCATTTGGCCAGAAAGAAAACATAAAGAAATAATTCTATTTTTTACGATGAAACAATGTCACAGCCAGCTCTTAAAAGTTTAGAAAATCTCTTTGAATAATGTGAAGTAAGAGGCATAATGAAAGAGAATAGGACTGAGAAGAAGAAAAAAAAGAGAAACAATGACACATGATCTTTCTTCTTGTGTTTATTTAGAGAAACAATGAAAAAAAAAGAGAAACAATAAAAAAAACTGAAGCTTTCTTCTTGTGTTTATTTAGTGAAAGAAAATTTAATAGAAATTGTAAAAGAAAAAGTGACACACGTTAGTTTTTTAGATGCCACATGGCTGCATATCAGAGTTGGTTGTGAAAAAACCTTACTTTATTATAATCGATAGACGAGATTTCTGTGATGTTGTAATTTGGTTTTTAGTATTACACTATTTTTAATGTATAATTTCATTTTTATTTTAAAATTGAGTAACTTCAAAACACATTTGAATTTTATTCTAATATATATTTTTATTTTTTATTCCAAGAAATATTTTAAATAGATTTTATTTTAACTTTATTATTAATTTTTTCAATTTTAAAATTTACAAATATTTGCAAAACTCTTATAAATTATAAATTAAATATTTATTAAATAAATAAAATTACATAATATCATAAAACATAGAATTTTTTTATTTAAATATTACGATTACTAAATTTTTTCCATTATCAATCAATACATTTCGAAGTGAAAAATGAGCTTTTTTATTTTTGATTTTTCTAAATAGACCAGAAACTCTTAAAACTGGATATTATCATTATCTACTATTTGGATGTATGGAAGTACAATTTCTCTTTAAACTTCAGTCGATGCTTCGAAATCACATTTATAATTGATTATCTTGTTATGTAAAATAACACATGTAGTAATGCAAATCTTCTTTTTTCCAAAAACGAACCGGTCTTTTTGCAATAGCAAATTGATGTAGGTGTTTAGCTATTTCAATTCCTACATATCCTTATATCATTGTAGTATGTAGGTGTCAATCCATAATGGGCAATGTAAGACAATAGGAATGCAATAGTCTACTTATGTTAAGCCAAATTAAAGACAAGTAGTGATCAAACTCAAGCAATCAACTAATCAAGACTAAACAAAAGAGAAAATTCGAAATATGATAATCAAAAGATAAAAACAGGACCTAAGATGGGGGTTATTGCTATAGAGAGTATTAGAATAGATTAATGATGCTTCACAAATCAACAAATAATGGTATTTCCTAGGCATAAAATTCAAACACAATAGATTAACTCAACCTCTTGGTGAAAACCCCTTTGCTAACAACCTAACCAATAACTAACTCTCATTAGTGATTAAGAAACTAACAAGCGAGTAAAACTAATTGTATTAAGCCTAGATATTTTCTAGACAGCTAATCTCTTAGGCTAGAACAGATAAATCAGCTAAAAGACTAAGCAGCATTTCTTCAAACACTTACTAGGCATAAGAGAAAGCATAGGTACTGAGCAAGCTTGATCAAGGCTAACATAGTGTTAAGCACATCTATTAGAGAGGAAACAATCATATTAAGTACAAAACATCACTAATCGAATCCTAAAACCCCTCTAATATATCCCATCTTAAACCCTAAAAAGGACTACTCACTAGCCATAGTCAAAACCACAAATTCCAAAGAGAAAGAATGGTTAAGCATGATTAGAAAACAGATTAAACAAGAATAGATTAAGACAACACACAAAAATTCCCTAAACCAAACAAGGTTCTTACAAAGATTACTCAAAAGAGAAAGATTTTTGCTTATAATAATAGAAAGATAAGATTGCCTAAACATTTTAGGACTTACTGTATTTATAGGGTGCCTTGAAAACCTGTAATAAACCAGGAGTAAACCGGTTTTTGGCTGGTTTGGCTGACCAATATCGGCATGGTTTGGTCGATATAGTCATCGTATTGGCTCTTCCTTCAGTTGTATCGGCTTGAGTGCCCGATACGGTGGTCGATACATCAGACTTTAGGGGACGTCTCTAGATGATCCTGCTCGGTATGCTCATCGATACAATCGTCTCCAGTTAAGGCAGATCGGGCATCCCTTAGCCGATACTCTGGTCGATATTGTCCTATCTCAGGTGGATTGGCTTGGGTGCCCGATATACTGCCTGGTACAAGCTCTCCTTAGTGTATTGATGTCCTCACAAGTCGATATGCTCCTCTGTACGCCTTGTCTCCCATGTATCAATATGTAATGATCGATACGCTGGCCTGTACACGCTCGGGCAAGCCTGCTCGATATCCAGCTCGATATTAGTCCATCCGCCCTTGTTCTCCTTCTTACTACACTCCAAGCTCACATCATTGCTCCACTTGGTCTCCAAGCACTCCTTTTGTACCTGATACAACTCTAAATGCAAACAAAATGCAAAGCAACACCTAAAACTACTCTAACTCCTAAATGTATGCAAATGGGACAAAAACAAGTAAGATATGCATGTTTAAAGACTAAAAACTGGTGATGAATGCATGCTAATATGGTATAAATTAATGATATATCAACACCCTCAAACTTGCCTTTTGCTTGCCCTTAAGCAAACAAAGACAAACAAGGGAGTCAAGTTTGAAAGTGGGAGTTCAAAACAAAAGATGCCAATAAAAAAACTGAATTCAATGCCAAAGTTCTAAGTTCGAAAATGCATAGAGATTATTCTACTTCAAAAGCTTTAGTCATACTCATCTTAACAAACATTGATCTCAAGCTTAGCCTACATAGGCCTTAATATCACCTAACTCATTAACATTCATTAATTAAATGGAACCACGTCAAGATCATGCAAATAAAGTGAAACCACTTGGCTAAAGGGGTAAGGCTATGAGACAAAGATGATCTTAATGTGAAGGGCTAAACGAATCAAGGGATCATTCAATGAAAAGAATCAATTTATGGCAAAATGCTAAGAGTAAAAACTAATTTATGCATACAAGGATGATTTCCATCTACCAAAGTACCTAAAACATATTTTATCCTAGACTAAACCCAATGATTAACCCCCAAAGCTACCCTTTTCTCAAGGCTTTTAATGCTTTTATAGCCTTCACACTTTCTTCACCTTCTTGCTGATCTTGGGGATCCTTATTTTTCTTGTGGATTGGCTTGTTTAAGGGCTCTCGTTTGTTGATTAAGGGCTCTCCTTAGAGCCCTAGTAGAGTCTTTACAGGTTATTTCATGCTTAGAGCACAATTGGAGATTTTGGAGCATTTTGGATCAAAGCAAGAGTTCTTCCCGAATGAAGCAACAAAGAGGTGTTACTCTACACTGGTGACGATCTTCACCACCTAATGGGTGACGCTCGTCATCCACATCTGAGGAAGAGTCGCATGGTTTACTAAAAGATAGAGGAACATTTGCAGTTTTGGCCATTAGTTCCATTATTTACAAAAGTCTCCCACTCGTGTTTTTGTTTGTATATTAGGTTTTTCAGCCA